GAGATGGTCCAGAGGTAATATTTCTAGGAAATGAGTTAAAAAGAAAAGCAAAAAGGTCAGCACCTCTAAGATGGTAAATAAAGTTGTATTAATGGTTGATAAATTTAGTGTTGAGTGAAAAACATGTACCTCTAGAATGATGATGAAGACTGGGTTCACAGATTTGCATTGTAGCTACCAAGTATTTAAATGTCCACTAGTATTTTGACACCCCAATGATGGATACTTTACAATTATTTAGGTATACATAACTGTGATATTTTAAAGGATAGAGAAAAAAACTCAAGTAGAAAAAGAATTGTGGGCAGTCTTGAAGATATTCTGATAGTTAAATTGGCACTTATCAAATTGCAATTTTGAGTATAAATATGCAATCTAGAAGTCTGAGTATCATATTATAAACTAACAATCTATTGATTGTGATTTCAACAAACTACCACATTATTCATATTTTTCCTCTTATCATGTAAAAATTGACACTAAGGAGGATAAAGTCTCAGGGACCATATTGTGTCTTGTTAAAACTGTAGGGGAGCTTTGCTCATACAGAACAATACTTACCATTTATAAACATCTTCTCCCTTTTCCTTTTTAAAGTAAATGAAGTTGCAAGCTGAATCCCATTGAACAAAAATGTTTGCAGGGGGTGATATAAAGTCAAATTTTAAAAGAGTGGACTTTGATTAAAATTGATTCTTAAACAGCTTACTTGGTAGTGGTTTGTTTGTGGTAATACAAAGACAGAATTTTGACACTGCAAGAAATGTTCTGGGGTTTGGTTCCCTAACTTCCCTCTGTATTACATTACTAATTTAAAGCAAACACACACACACACACACACACACAATTAAGATTAAAATTGAGACCTTAAGAGAACATATTAATCTTGGAAAAAAGTGCAAGAATATTGCATTAGGTATTAAAGGTTAGGAGTAATAATCACTGGTAATAGTAGGAAACACTTCCAGCTGATTTTAGGAGAACCAACAAACAAATCACAATACCACAGGGCTTTTTAAAAAATGACACAAGCAAGATTAGTTTACCACCACCCTTGTTTCGGTTTATTTTTTTCAATAGAAAGGAAATAAAACAAAAAATAGAATAAAAGCACTTTTGATAAATTTTTTAACTGGTTTTTCCACTTTTCTTCAAGTGAAAAACACTAACATGTAAAAAGCCTTTTTATAAGAGGAAAATAAAAATAATATTTTCCTAAATCCAAGGGGCTAAATTTTTTTTGTACTGAAAGTAGAGAGAAATACAAGACCAAACATTAGAATCAAATATTAAACCTCCTAGAGCAAGCTAACTGCTTCATGATTCAAAAGTATGAAGAGAAGCAGAGGGAACACACAAAGAAAACAGAAACGTATAATCCAAAAGAAAATGGATCAGAAATAAAATGTTAATTTTTCTTTCCATCAGAAAAAATTGTCACATATAACTCCAATAATAACATGATACAACTCAAAGCCACATTTGAAACTATGAATAAAATATGTACTTCCTTCAAAGAAATAGTAAAGAATGTTTTCTACCAGCTACTTTTAAAAGTTGGCAGTTACAGGCCTGAAAGGAAAACAAATGTGAAACTGCAAATTAAAATTTTTAAAGAAAACTAAAATGTTCTCTCAATAAACAACTTTTACCATAAGGCAGCAGCTCTCACACACAAGGCAATATTCTGAAAGATATCATAATACTGATTCAAAATAGGCTAAATCTGTTACATTACACAAAAAGAAAATTCCTAGAAATGCAAAGACACTCTGCTTGTACTTGATTGTTTTTCCAACAAATGTGCTTGAAAAATCTGCACAAATTAACTCCATTTTCCTTTATTACAATTTCAGTTACTTCAGTAATCCATCCTATCAATTGTACCTTTCTCTTTTGAAAAAAATCTAACATGTAGCAATGTTCATAAGAGTAATACAGCCACATGCGAAAGTATCTTGTTAAACTTTAATGGTAAAGACAAGCTGCTCTATACTTTGATAATAGTCTTACTTTCCATGATGAAACAGAAGAGCACTGTTTGGCCAATATAATTCTTAGGCTTAACATATGTTCGGTTTCTTAACTTTGTTTTTCATTTAGCAAAGAAACTTGAAGAGGAAAACCTTCCACTACTTAAATAAAATAAACATAATAAATTGTAGCTAGACAATTCTGTTACAAAAGGTAGCTGGTGCAGTAGTCTCCAGCTCTGACAGGGGACATCCATTTCATATTATTTTAATGTTGTATATATAAAGTCCATTTTTTAAAAAAAGTAAATAAATACTTTGACTTAAATGCCCATGTTGAAAAAGAGTCAGGGTTTTTGTCTTTAATGTACTCTTCTTAAAGTAATACAATTGAAATAAAAAGCTAATTCTAATATAATTATATATAAACACAATTGCTTTTTCACAAAGAAGCTCAATTCAAGTCACTTACCTTTCAGTTTCTATTAAATCTGAGATAAAACATGTAATTTTCCTAATTGCACTGTCACTCACCTAATCTGCACTTGCAACATAAGTACAATACATTTTGTACTGAGCTATATACTGGTAAATTTTTTATATATGTCAGTTTATATCTATTGAAGTTTACCACGAGTATATAAGGCCACTTGGATTTCTCGGAATTACTTTGCCATTAAACATATATGCTTCTCTTTTACAAAATGAAACTATGTTTTGACATAGTATCATTAAATGTCAATAATGAAATATTTAACTTCAAGAACAAACGAATGAAAAATTTTTACCTTGTTGTGTATTTTTAATAAGTTGAGCTAAAGAAGATCTATTGAAGGGGCAAGGGTGGCTACCATAAAATTTTATACTTGAGCAATGCATTCTCTAAAGGTCGGCTGTTACTCCCTACAAAAGAAAAAAAGGTTGTTCTCTAATAAACAAATCTCTTTAAAACAATTGAAGTGTCTCTTAAAATGATTCCAGGATCTAAAAAAAGCAAGTTGGAAATTATGAAAAGCTACTAGTCAAGTCATGGTGGTTAACAAGGTTTTGGTGACAGATTCAGGTTCAAATTCCTGGTGACGTCACTTACAGAAACTTGTGACCTTGGTTAAGTTTCTTATCCCCTTTTAGCATCAATTTCTTCATCTGCAAAACTGGTCATTATGTTAAACAATTAAGAACAAACGTAGGTATTATTAGTACTAAGCCTGGCACTTAATAAGGGCTCAATAAGGTAGCTATTGCCATTATTGTCAAGACAAGCTAATCAATGATCTTGCAAAAGCTGCAATGGTCCTCTTGTTTTAAAACCCGCTCTTTCCTGGCTTAGTAGGGTAACTACTGGTATCTTTCTGTCGTTCGCTTACCGTAAAGGTCTCTCTACAGAACTACAAAGAAAAAAAAGTGTAGGATGTTAAAAACTGAATTTTACAGGTAGCAACAACCTGGACTCAGGTAAAACTGCAGGATGCAGAATTTGTCAAGAGTGCTGTCATCCGGCCTTTCAACTATGCTACCGATCCCCAGTAGACTTGATGGCGTTAGAAGGATACTTCCCGGCATATACTTTTAAAATAAAATCACTTCAGGTAAAAGAAAAGTCAAGTATCCAGGACAGTACGTGGCATGTAAGATTAATTTTTTTTTTTTTTTCTGAGACAGAGTCTTGCTCTGTTGCCCAGGCTAGAGTGTCGTGGCGTCAGCCTAGTTCACAGCAACCTCAAACTCCCAGGGTCAAGCGATCCTCCTGCCTCAGCTTCCCGAGTAGCTGGGACTACAGGCGTTCACCACCACGCTCGAATAATTTTTTCTATTTTTAGTTGCTCAGCTAATTTCTTTATACATATATATATATATATATATTTTTTTTTTTTTAGTAGAGACGGGGTCTTGCTCTTGCTCAGGCTGGTCTCGAATTTCTGAGTTCTAGCGATCCTCCCGCCTCAGCCTCCCAGAGTACTAGGATTACAGGCGTGAGCTACCACACCCGGCCTGCAGCATTAGTTCTTAATAATTGTTGAATAAGTCAACAAGCTGTACATTTCGAATGGAAACTTTAATTTCCTAGGAAACATCGATTTATTTAACAAAATTTTCATTTGCAATTCTGAACTCGAGTACTTATTCTCACCAAGAGCTCTAGATTTAAGCTTTTATCTTCACTTAATTATTTCAAAAAGCTTCAGCGGTAGGAATTATTATCCCTAAAGTAATGGAAAAAGGATGAGCTTTAGAAGTGGTCGAGTAAAATGCCTAAAGTTACACACTTTGTAAAGAAGCAGCTGGGATTCGAACTTGCACTTTTAGGGCTTCAAAATCTAAGCTGTTTGTGCTGCACCAAAGTTTGCGCCACTACTTGTCTCCCGAAACTGTCCCCATGGACAAGACAATTCTTAAATTTTAAGCTTTTCTTTTTCTTCTATGTTGCCATTCCTTCCATTTCACATTACCTCCTATGCTGGACCATAACCTCAATACAACAAGGGGAATGGTGTAAGAGAACAGGCCCCAAAAACCGGAAATCTATTTTACTCCGTACGCCGGAGGGAGGTCTGGCGCCACCACCAGAAGCGACAAACATAGGCTGGGGTCCAGGGAGGCTGCAGACCGCGCCCAAGTCTCAAGTTTTAGTCAAGGCCCACGTTCAGACTAGGAGAGGAGAGAAGAGAGGGTTATCTTCTCCTGACACCCTCACCACAGCAGAAACACAAAGGAGAAGGTTGGAATGGCAGTAATAGTGCAAACGGTAAACTCGAACGCCCCTGAAGTTCGTTAAACGCACTTACTCGAGCGAAGTAATTTCAGGACGCTAGGCCAGCACTGGCAACGGAACGGGCTCCTGTGTCCTCCAGCCCCAGGCGCTGACGGTGACGACATCTGCACCGCGCCGCAGAAGGCGAAGGCCCAGCGTGGGGCCACGAGCCCAGCGCACACAGCGCGCGTTCGCGAAAGGGGCGGGGCGGTTCGGCGGCGCCACCTTTGAGCGTCACGGGCGGGGCCGCTGCTTTTGGGCGGAGGGGTTTGAACATGTCGCGCCTGAGGGGAGTAGCCGGGAGGGATCCCCGGGCGGGTTTCAAACCTGGCGGGAGAGACTGCCTTACCTCCGTACCCCAGGGGCTGTTAAAGGCAGCGAGGAAGAGCGGCCAGCTAAACCTGTCGGGTAGGAACCTCAGTGAAGGTAAGACCCTGAAGTAACGACCCGATTGTGTGCCCTGCCCTAAAGCCTCGGACCCGACAGCCTCCCTTTCTTCTGGCCTGGCTTTGGCTCTTTCTCAGGCTCGTACGTAGCCAGGATCCCTGTGCTTTAACTTAGGCATTTATTACATTTCGCCTGGCTTGGTCAGCCCAGTTCGGCTTTTCCTCTGGCTCCAGCAGTCTCTGGTGAAGGGACCCTACTGGGAATATGGTCAAAATTTAAACGCGTTGCTTTCTGATTCCTACATTCTGTGAGATAAGCAGTATGATGTGTGACGAAATTAGCTATCAGATGGTGAAAAAATACTTTCTTTGGCCTTCATTTTCCTTCTCTTTATGTGATCTCTAAGAGCACTAACCAATGTTAAAATTTTATGTGTTTTTTTTTTTTATCTGCCCTCTTGTGAGCTTAAAATGAGTCCCACTGTTCCTTGCTGAGAGCCTCTTTATGCAACTGGGCAGCGTCCTCATTACAAGAAATAATGAGCATGTGCTCTAAATTGAGCATCAGGTTAGTCGTTGCATACAGTGTTTGCATTTGGTGCCATCCTGAGAAAACTTGGTAAAGACTGTCAAGCACAAATTTCCATAGCACGAATGAATGGGCCAGATGCTCTTATTATCTGTGTGTTGTGTGTGTGTTAGAGAGTTAGAGAAAGAGAGGGAGGCAGAGAAGGAGATGGAGAAATATAGCATTCTTCCTATAGTGTTTTTCTCTACTTATATTCAGTTTTTAGACTGTGATTAAAACCTTCCCTTTTCCTTCTAATGATTGCTTTCTTATTGTGCCATGTGTAATAAAGCAGACCAGGCAAACAAATACTTGCTGAATGAAAGGATGTATGACATAGAATCCCTGCTCTATCTGGAAGAGTTTTTAATGAATGGGAACATAAGCATTTTCAAACTACAGATGTGCATACACATACAGTTAATTTTCCCAAAGCCTGGAACATTCTCCCCTAAACCTGCATAGCACTCACTCTTTTGTTTTTTTTAGGATTCTGCTCAAAGGCCACACCTCAAAGAGGCCCTTCCTAACTACCTTATCAAAGTACCATTGCTAACATTATTCTCTTACCTGTTTAATTTTTAATAGCATTTATCACTATCAGAATTTATATAATTTGTTTATTGTCTTCTCTCCATCTAGAATGTTAATTCAGTATTTTGGTCATTGTTATGTTCCTATCACCCAAAACAGTGCTTGGTACATAGGAGATTCTTATTAAATATAGTGGAAACAATTAAGTAAATGAATGAGTATTCTCAAATGCGAAGTGGTGTGCTAGAATGTACTTATTGACTGGACCCAGGTGGATTAGTTTGTTAAACTTATAGGGAATGAATGGAGTTTGACTCTTAGGACCATGATGATATGGCTCAGGACTATTTCTGTTATTATTGTATAAACAAAGCCTAACATAATATCTGGCACATAAAATGATGTTAAGTGAGTAAACAATATTTCATAGGAGGAAAAAGATATAAATGGGAGAGGCTCATGGTATTTGTAGCTTATATATCAAAAAGGAATCCCTGTTACCATAATGTAGAAGGTCTTTCCCTATCTGGCTGTATGTAGCCTTTTAGTTTCATCACTTGTCACTCAATATTTGATACCCAAAGCACTATAATTCTGAACTATTATAGTTCCTTGTGGGGTCATGCTTCTTATCCTCCTATCTTTACTCATGTAACATTGAGGTGCTTAATTATTCTGTGCCTTAGTTTCTCATTTATAATATAGGAGTAATCATAGGACCTAATAAAGTTTAAATGAGATAATATAGGTAGAGTGCCTGGTACATAAAAAGTACACAGTAAAAACTGGCCATTGCTGCTATCATGGCAATAGCCTCCTAACTGGTTTCCTGGATTTCTTGTTTTAAATCTTACACTTGCTACTCAGGAGGCTGAGGCAGCTTGGATAACATAGCGAGACCTAGTCTCTAAAAAAACAAACGAAAAATCTCACATTCTATCTTAGTGTTATTATCAAGAATCATTTTTCCTAAACACAGATCTTAAATGTCACTCAAAACATTCGATGATTTCCAATAGCTCAGAAGATACACTATAGATAGCATAACATGCAAAAGGCTTTCTAAATCTTTTGCCTGTCTACTATATTACCTCCCATCTCTTTTCAGAATCCGATACTTTAATAATAACAACAAAATAATAACCTTTTCCCCCAAACAACTATACATTAAAATTTTTTAAAACCGTTTTAATGAAAGTTGAGCAGTTAGTATGTTGTATTCTTATATACCCCTCTCCCCAGCTTACTGTTTCCTCTGTTATTAACATGTTGCATTAATGTGCATTTATTGTAATTAGTGAACCAATATTGATACATTATTAACTAAAGTCCGTAGTTTACATTAGGGTTCATTATTAGTGTTGTACAGTTCTATGCCTCTTGGCAAATGTATGTCATGTATCCACCATTAGAGTATCATACGGAATAGTTTCACTGCCCTAAAAATCCCCTGTGCTCTACTCATTCATTCCTTACCCACCTTCCCTTGAACCCCTGGCAACCACTGATCTTTTTACTGTTTCTGTAGTTTTATCTTTTTGAGAATGTCTCATAATTGGAATAAATACTAGGATGTAGCCTTTTTAGGCTGGCTGTTTTCAACAAACAATATGTATTTAAGATTCCTCCATGTCTTTTTGGTGACATAATAGCTAATTTCTTTTTATTGCTGAGTAATATTGCATTGTATGTATGTTTATTCATTCTCCTTTTGAAGGACATCTTGGATGCTTCCAGTTTTTGGCAATTATGAACAAAGCAGCTGTAAATACTTGTGTTCAGGTTTTTTTGTGGATGTAAGTGTTCAATTAATTGGAGTAAAAATCTAGGAGTGTGATTACTGGTTCATACGGTAAGACTATGTGTAGCTTTGTAAGAAATTGCGAGAATCTCTTCTAAAGTTCCTATATCATTCTGCATTCCCATGAGCAATGAGTGGAAGTTCCTGTTGCTCCATATCGTCACCAACATTTGGTATGATCAGGTTTTTTTTGATTTTCTCCATTTTAATAGGTATATTTTCTTATCTCATCGTTTTAATTTGCTATTCCCTAGGGACACAGGATGTTATGCATCTTTTTGTATGCTCATTTGCCATCTATATATCTTCTTTGTTGAGGTGTCTGTTCAGATCTTTTGCCCATTTTTTAATTGCATTGTTGTTTCTGTGTTGTTTTTTTAATAGAGACAGGATCTTGCTCTGTCACTCAGGCTGGTGTGCAGTGGTACAATCATACATGGCTCACTGTAACCTCAAAGTCCTAGGCTCAAGCCACCTCCTGCCTCAGCCACTCAAAGTGCTAGGATTACAGGGATGAGCCACCGCACCCGGCCTGGGTTTGTTTTCTCATTGTTAAGCATATTTGCCTTTGATTTGCCTTTTTATGCTCAATAACTGATGGTTCAATGAATAAGTGATATATAGAAGTGGGGCAGTGGCCTGTTGGTTATGGTTCTTAAAATCCGTGTTATATGAAGTCTAGATAAAAGCTACAGAGATGTTTTTTGACATAGTCAAAACAAGTTTTACTATCTTTATTTCTGCCCCAAAATATTATTACCTCAACTTATGAATTATATTCAAAACGTGTTTTTAAACATGGCTTATTTCAAATTACTGTACATATATGTGTGTGTATGTAAGATATTTTATATGACACTTACGAGATAAATGTTAAAGTGTTTTGTATACTATAGGGAGTTACACAGATCTTTCAGATATTGTTCTGTGTCCTGAGGAAATAAAGATTAGTGACACCTTCAAACAGTTCAGTCTCATAAGCACTTTAACATAAGCTTTATTTATTATTAAGAATTGTACTTGTTAAACAAATAATAATTTAAATTTTCATATTATACTCCAATTCTTTCTCTCCCCCTCTGTATTTACATGGTCATATTAGTAATGTATTTGTAAAGTACAGTCATGCCCATTATTTCTATGTTGAACGAACGCCCACATAAATAAAGTACAGTTGACCCTTGCACAACATGGGTTTGACCTGCATGGGTCTACTTATATGCAGATTTTCTTCCACCTGTCATCCCTCAGACAACAGGACCAATCCCTCCTCTTCTTCCTCAGCCTACTCAAAGTGAAGACAATGAGGATGAAGACCTTTATGATGATTCCTTCCATTTAATGAACAGTAAATATATTTTCTCTTCATTATGATTTTCTTAGTAACATTTTTTTCCCCAACCTCCCAATGGAAAAAAAAAACAAAAAAAAAAAAAAAAAAAAAAAAAAAGGGGTAAATGAACAATTCCGGTAAGGGGAAAGCCTCCAAGCAAAGGGAAGCCAATAAGAAATAAAGTTGGGGGAAAGCAAAAGTTATACGTGGATTTCCAACTATGCAGCAGGGGGGCTCAGTGCCCCAAATTCTCATGTTGTTCAAGGATCAACTGTGTATCCAAACACCCTAAAGAATAACTAGATTTCAGTCACAGGTAAAAGTTAATGCCCTCAAGACTTACTCTCCCTAATAGGTTTACCTGTTTGCCCTCTATTACTGATGAACTGGACTGCGTACCAGTTAACAACTCTATCAAGTTGATAAAATCTCTCACTGCCCTTGTAGAGCTTCCATTAAAAAAAAAATCAA